GTCCCGGCCCCTTCTTTTTCTCACTGGGCCCTTCAGACCCGTACTGCCTTTTTGTAGTGATTCTTACTAGCAGCATGTGATGGTCTGTCCCGTGCCGAAACTGGAGGCCATTACTGAGACAGTAGTTCTACTGAGAATACGTGAAGCATCCGGTTTTTGAGATTTTACCAAGCTCATTCAGGCCGAGTTCATTTTCCTTTTTGCATTTTCCTGGGTCTAGATGTTTGGGTTTCCTTCTCCTCTATCGTTGTTAGGTTCTCATTCCCCCTCTTCCTTCTGCTAATGTCATAGCTCTCAACACAGTTCTCTTCTTCTTTCCTTGTCACTCAGGTTTTGCTTTGAAATTACCACATCAGCAGACAGATATGAGCTAACTCCGGAACTGCTGTTCAGCCTACACATCCTTTGTTGGCCATGGCAGGTGCATAAATGCGAGTGATTTTGGGAGTTTTACAAGAAAGTAGGAAGTGATTCCTGTAGACCTCTTTCTGCTAGTAATAAACCCAGCTTTTCCAATCATTATTGCATCATCCTTCCGCACCGTACAGATTTTTTTGCCCCTATTCCTCCTTGTGATTTGTTCGTTGCTTTTACCTTTGTCACGTGATTTTCCATTGATTCCTCGAAGAAGTCCGTAAGCTTATCTTTTGGCTGCAGCCTAGAGTTACATATGCACATCCACTTCGTTACGTGGCGGCTTCTTTTAGAATTTCCGCTTGTCGATCAGCTGCCGCCCGCCTGGCTGAATGGCTCTTAAAGCATCGAGGCTTGTTATGCGTTTTGCGCCGTATAACAGCATTACAAAACGCATATTGTCACGGGTGTCTGTGTGTATGTGTTTGTGTGTGTGTGTCCCCCACATTTTGTCCCGCACTTTTAACTCAGGAACCACAAAAGCTAGGTGCCTGAAATTGTGGTATAGTGTTACCCGCCAGCGGGTGACGCGGCAAATTTAAATTCAGCCTTCCCGTTCCCGCGGGTAATATGTACGGCCCCGTGAAAGTTTTTTACGGGTAAATTAATATCTCAGGAACCACGGAGTCCAGAAGGCTGAAATTTTAGGGTAATGACCCCATGCCCACGCTCAACCTTGCCCATTCAAGTTCAGCGTTCCCGCGCTCTCGGGTATCACCTACAGGGTAGTGAATGTTTTCACAGGTAAATTATTATCTCGGGAACCACGGAGTCTAAGAAGCTGAGATTTTAGAGTAATAACCCCCTGCCCGCGCTCAACCTTGCCTATTCAAATTCAGCTTTCATGCGCTGGTGCGTGAAAATTTTAACTGTTTCCCAATGGAACTATTTTTGCATAGATTAAAGTACAAAGCAGTGAAAATCATAAATAGGCAATCGTTCGATGGG